GAGACCATGTGGCTATAAACCGAGGTGCACGGAACGCTGTTACCTTCCCACCACAGTGGTACCTATTTATCTACTCACATTTGCCTGCTTTCAAACTGCTAGGTGTGTAGGAGTTGCAGAAAGTAACAGGAGCTCCTCCTGTTGTGTGGCGGTCGGGTCTCTAACCAGTGGTGGGATTCAAATATGTGGATGCTGCTTCCGGAAGTCCATTCTGGGCCTGGGCAACAAAAAGTAGCTACCGGTTCTGCCGAACTGCTGCGAACTGGCTGAATCCCACCACTCTCTCTAACCCAGACTGTCAATGTTCCAGCTGACCTGCTCAGCATGTTTAACTGCTGACCATCATGCCTCCTTCGATAGTGAGGTAGGAAGCATATACATTTAATACCACAAATAAATGTTATTGATTCCCTTTTTATTCAGAAACTGAAGATGGCATACAGAGCACTTCCTGGGTAGCATCTTGGGCCAAGAAAGAGGATCTTTTCTCATTGTAAATCCCCCACCAGCCCACCTACTTGCCCAGAAATACTTCCTGCCTCTCAATTGGCATCTTAAATTAGCCTCCCATAGTTCCTGACAGCCACCTTCCTGTCTAACCTAACACTGAACTGGAACTCGTGGCTTTCCATCCAGGATGCTTATGTTTTTTTCTGGTTTTTTAATATAATAGTAAACATTACATAATGTTTAATATCAATAATAAACATTATTTTTACTACGACCACAGAAACGTCTTCAGACAAGACTGGCTCTCTCAGGTAAGAAACAGAGATGAGCACCAGCCCCTATAGCAGGGGTAGGCAACCTTGGCTCTTTTATGACTCGTGGACTTCAACTCCCAGAATTCCTGAGCCAGCATGGTTCAGCTTGGAAACCTCTCCCTTTCCCCTCAGCATGGCTGGCTCAGGAATTCTGGGAGTTGAAGTCCACGAGTCATTAAAAGAGCCATGGTTCCCTCCCCGATTTGAGGAAAAGGATGTTTCCCCAAGGAAACTGCCCAGAGAGATACATTCCTGAATTAGTCTTTTTAAGACCTGTGGACTTCAACTCCCAGAATTCCCCAGCCTGCATGGGAAACTTGGCTCAGCTTGGAAACCTCTCTCTTTCCCCTCAACATGGCTGGCTCAGGAATTCTGGGAGTTGAAGTCCACAGGTCTTAAAAGAGCCAAGGTTGCCCACCCCTGCCCTATAGAGTTGGACATGACTGGTCAGGGGAAACCTTTGCCTTAATTATTATTTTAAACAGAAGATAATGTTAACAAGAACTAATACACTACATAAAAGAACAAAAAAGAAATCAAGAGTGCAAAAAGAAAAGATAAAGAGAAGTTACTTACCATTTCCTTAGTGAACATAATTAGAAATACAAAATGACCTCTTACTCTGGGATGATCAAAAAACAACTTCTTTTTATTACCTGTTTTTTTAACAATCAAAACTGTAAGTCATAACTTCAATTTTTTTCTGTTTCACACAACTCTCTGAAGAACTTCCAGTCAGCACTGAATGTAGAAAATGCCTTTTGTCCGATTGAGGAAGTCAATCATTCATCTCAAGGAAGTCCATCATCTTCGCCAACTGTTCCTCCATTGCGGTTAAAGTTGAGACTTTCCACTTTATTGCATAGAATACAGGGGATGGTTGACTGACAACCACAACGGGGGCCAAAATTTTGGTCCTAGGTCATTGCGGTTGTAAAGATGCCCACGTGATCTCCTCTCGACAGCTGGAATCCTGCCCCCTCTCCCAAGTTGCAATCACTAACAGATCATGCAGGTCATCAAGCAGACAGAGTGAAACAGCGGCCTGCCAAAAGAAGGGAACAATTTCACTGTGCTGAAGAAAGGAAGCTCAGACAGGGCTTGAACCTCCCAACTCAGATCTCCTCTTCAGGTGTAACACTAAAACATGTCTAATTAAAAAGAATCAGGCAAATTGAAATAGTGAATTTTTCAGCTGAGCTTGCAATGAGTGATCAGAAATGATATTTAAATTATGCCTCGTAGAATTTCTTCTGTACGATAAGCGATGACTTCTGGTGTGAAACACTGTCAGCAATCTAGACATTAAAATGGTTTCTCCCCTATGTGTAACCTTGCATGATTTACAAGGCTAGACCTAGTACTGAAATTTTTCCCACACTCCAGACACTCGTATGGTTTTTCTCCTGTGTGAGTTCTCTGGTGTATCACGAGGGCAGAATGCCAATGGAAACTTTTACCACAATCCCGACACTGATATGGTTTCTTACCTGTATGAGTTCTCTGGTGTACTACCAGGTGATAATTCCGACAGAAACCTTTCCCACAATCAGGACACTTATATGGTTTTTCTCCTGTATGAGTTCTCTGGTGTATCACCAGATTGAAATTCCTACTGAAACTTTTCCCACAATCCTGACACTCATATGGTTTCTCTCCTGTGTGTGTCTTCTGGTGTATCAGAAGATTGGAATTCTGCTTGAAACTCTTCCCACAATCTGGACACTCATATGGTTCCTCTCCTGTGTGAGTCCTCTGATGTATCACCAGATTGGAATTCTGAGTGAAACGTTTCCCACAGTCCGGACACTCATATGGTTTATCTCCTGTGTGAGTGCTCTGGTGTACCACGAGATTGAAATTCTTACTGAAACTTTTCCCACAATCCGGACACTCATATGGTTTCTCTCCCGTGTGAGTCCTCTGATGTATCATCAAGTCAGAATTCCGAATAAAACTTTTCCCACACTCCAGACATTCATACGGTTTTTCTCCTGTGTGAGTTCTCTGGTGTATCACTAGGGCAGAATTCCAATGGAAACTTTTACCACAGTCCACACACTGATATGGTTTGTTGCCTGTGTGAGTTCTTTGGTGTACCACCAGATTAGAATTCCAGGAGAAAGCTTTCCCACAATCTGGACACTTATATGGTTTCTCTCCTGTGTGAGTTCTCTGGTGTTCCACCAGGTGAGAATTTCGACTGAAACTTTTCCCACAATCCAAGCATTCATATGGTTTTTCTCCTGTGTGAATCCTCTGATGTATCAATAATTCGGAATTCCAATTGAAACCTTTCCCACAATCTGGACACGGATACGGTTTCTCTCCCGTGTGAGTCCACTGGTGAATCAACAAGTTGGTATTCTGCTTGAAACTCTTACCACAATCTGGACACTCATATGGTTTCTCTCCTGTGTGAGTCCTCTGGTGTATCACCAGGTTGGCATTCTGACTGAAACGTTTCCCACAATCCTGACACTCGTATGGTTTCTCTCCCAAATGAGTCCTCTGGTGCATCACAAGGTTGGCATTCTGACTGAAACTTTTCCCACAATAAAGACACTCATATGGTTTCTCTCCTGTGTGAGTCCTCTGGTGCATCACAAGGTTGGCATTCTGACTGAAACTGTTCCCACAATAAAGACACACATATGGTTTCTCTCCTGTGTGAGTTCTCTGGTGTACCACCAGTTTGGAAGTCCGACTAAAACTTTTTGCACAATGCGGACACTCATACAATCGATCTACTGTGTGAGTCCTTTGATGCTTCACAAGGTCAGACTTTGAAGTATAAGTTTTTCCACAATCAGGACACTTATACGGTTTCTCTCCAGTGTGAGTCCTCTGGTGTATCGTCAGGTGTGAATTGCGAGTGAAACATTTCCCACAATCAAGACATTCAAAGGGTTTATCCCCAGCGAGAGTCCTCTTGTGTCTCACCAGAGTGGTGTGGCGTGCTAAAGCTTTTGCCACATTGGGAACAATGGTAGGCCTTCTCTCCGGTGCGGATGTTTCCATGAGGGAGCTGTTCTAAGTAAACTTTTTGCCACACTATGAGCATTTGTGTGGATTTTCACCGGCGTGGATCCTTTCATGCATAATTAGCTGTGATCTGCAATCTCTGTTTTTCCCACAACAGGATGTCTGCCAAGGTTTTCCAACACCGATATTCTTGGATTCTTGAGGAGGCCAAAAATATTTCTGATCACCTGAAGGTACTTTCATTCAAGCTGCTCTTTCCTTCCTCAAGGGCTTTAATTAATACCTGCCCATTTTGGCTATCCAAAGGACCTTTTCCTTCCCACTAATTTCCAGTTATTTCCACTTTTTCTGAATTTGGAAATTATCCCCTTTGACTTTTCATGTAATGTTTCCTTGAGTTCCACATACTCTATTTTTTCCAGTTCAAAACTTTGTTATTCTCTCCCTTGTCTCTCATCTTCTGAGGAAAGAGAAGAGTTTTTATACTTTCTGCAGGAAGTAGAAAATATTTTGACTGATTATTTGTTTTAATGCTGCTTCTCATTCTCTGTCATTCAGAGTTCTCTTCTTGGCATCCTCTTTGTCTGTAAGATTCATATTAATAGATTAGCTTCATTATTGTTAAAAGTAGCCTACATGTATTACCATAAAAAATATCAAGATGCTATTTTAACCTCTAATATTAGTTATGATTCATTTGGCACATAAAAAAGATTTTGGTTCAAATCTCCACTCAATCACTAATTTTTTTTCCAATCATCAAGTATTAGCATTGCAAATTGTTATAAAACATTCCTGAAAATTCTGAATATAGATCAGGGGTCCCCAATACCCAGTCCAGACCGGCATCAATACATGGCATGTCAGCAACCGGGCCACACAAACAAGCAAAGCCCCATCTGCAGGATGCAGGCAGCATGCAAAACCATGCCCCCCTCCTGTCCGCGGGGAAAAAACTTTCTTTATGGAACCGGTCCCTGGTGCCCAAAAGGTTGGGGGCCGCTGATATAGATTATAGAGATACGTGTTTAATGCACACAGAAATACACACCTATAGAGTTATGTATATAAAAATTTTTTGTGTATTTCAGTCTGCAAAATGTCCCAGGTGTGGATCTGCTCAATTTTTTTGATCTAATTTTAGAAAGGTGGGACAGTAACAGATGAAATGTTGCCCAAATCCTATGCAAGATTTAAAAAATCCGTTTTGCCCACGAAACCCCTCGCTTGCCAAGAAAACGACACGTGAATAAAATCACAAGGAATCAACTGTTACCTAAACGATGAAGGAGATTGGGGTGGGGTGTTAAGAAATATGAAAAATAAAGATTTCGTTAAATCTCCCAGCAGAAAATCACAGGCAGCCGTTTTAAATCGTGCAGCCCCAGAGGAATACAATTTGGGGAGAGAAAGAACATGCAGCAGCAGCAGCAGCAGCCGACATGTTTCAGCCTTGTCGCTTTGCTGCTTCCACACCGCCGAGGAAACCAAACCGCCCGACTTGCTCCCGGCTTCTCCTCCGACCTGCCCTCCACTCACCTCCCGGGAGCCGCTTCGACCCCTGAAACAGCGAAAGAGGCACCCGCGACGCCATCCTCCTCTCCTGGGTGAGCCGGAAGAGGAAGTTCCTCTGCCCTTCCCCCCAAATCCTCTCTAGAAATCCAATCCTCTATCGTTTCAACTCGTTCCGTCTCCGCCTCTACCCTTCCAGTAGACTACTGGTAGCAAAGCCATTAATGTACTATACCAGGGGTAGTCAACCTTGGCTCTTTTATGACTCATGGACTTCAACTCCCAGAATTCCTGAGCCAGCACAGCACAGCACAGCTGGCTCAGGAATTCTGGGAGTTGAAGTCTACGAGTCATAAAAGAGCCAAGGTTGACTACCCCTGTACTATACAGTATTCACGACTTTCTAGGCCCGAGTGTCGCTCATTGGTAGAGCGCCATCTAGTGACATAAGGCTGAATAACATGCTCGTTCTATCTCTACCCTAAAGCGTTTGCATGATGTTTTCATTGATTCCGTGGTCCGTTATGTGCCATTAAATCGTATTCGACTCCCACCGAATCCATGAATAGCTTTCGTCCATGACAATCTACCCCGAACCTTTTCTTTCAGATCTCCCAAGAGTGAACTCGTGGCCCCTGTGAGACATTTGTTATTTGTTAAATGGCTTTTGCCCCATTTTACACCTTTTCTGGCCACAGTTGTTAAGTGAATCACTGCAGGTGTTAAATTAGAAACACAGTTGTCAAGTGAATCTGGCTTCCCCGTTGACTTGTCAGAAGGTCACAAAAGATGACTTCAAGGCACTGCAGTCATCGTAAATATGAGTCAATTGCCAAGAGTCTGAATTTTGATCACATGACCACAGGGATGCTGCAATGGTCGTCAGTGTGAAAAATGGTCATGTCACTTTTTTCAGTGCTATTGGGACTTCGAACCGTCACTAAATGAACTGTTGTAAGTCGAGGACTACCTGTACATAGCAGGGCCAAGAAAAAGGGAGCTCAAAAAGTGACTGTACTTGGTAAACAAAACTAATACACTTTTCAAAAAAAATGTTTGAAAGGGTTGTGAAAAGGATGGTAGTATCTATGTGCACATAAATGTGTGTCTGCCTGACGCTTTTTTAATTAGAAATGCAATCTAATGTTGAAAACACACAAAAAGAATAGAAAATAAGCAAGAAACAAGAAATTAGAAAAAAAATACCCCATACAGTTATGCCTTCCCTTCTCCTTTCTATAAGTAATTGTTATATACATTCCAGTTTGGGAATTATATCTTCTCAGCTAGCCAGAAGGAAACCCTTCTTAAAAATGGATCCTGGCCTGAAGTCCATTCCTCAGAGAAATCCAGACCAACATTTCTCTTCCACATTGCTCACCATCTGTCCAGAACAATAGGGAGATTCTCTCTATACCAGGGGTAGGCAACCTTGGCTCTTTTATGACTCGTGGACTTCAATTCCCAGAATTCCTGAGCCAGCCATGCTGAGGGGAAAGGGAGAGGTTTCCAAGCTGAGCCATGCTGGCTCAGGAATTCTGGGAGTTGAAGTCCACGAGTCATAAAAGAGCCAAGGTTGCCTACCCCTGCTCTATATCATAGAGTCTATGGTATTGTGGAGCTGACAGAGAAGAAAGATAAAAGACACACTGAACTTTATGTAGGAAAAGGATGGGGATAGGTAGCCAGCTAGAGGATGGGGGGACAGAAAGAGAGAGGAACAGAGAGAGTATGTATAAATATGGAGATTAGGATCAAAGAGGTTAAGAACAGAGAAAGATGGAAAGGTAGTGTCATAAGCTTTTTGAAAGTATAGAGTAGGCATAGAACATATAGAAAAAAGGCAATTGCAATAGACAATCTTATATGAGAGCCATTTTGGTGTAGGGCAGGGGTAGGCAACCTTGGCTCTTTTATGACTCGTGGACTTCGACTCCCAGAATTCCTGAGCCAGCATGGCTCAGCTTGGAAACCTCTCCCTTTTCCCTCAACATGGCTGGCTCAGGAATTCTGGGAGTTGAAGTCCACGAGTCATAAAAGAGCCAAGGTTGCCTTCCCCTGGTGTAGGGGTTAAGGCCTCAGGATAGGAACTCAAGACGGTGAGTGGGAATCCTAGGCAGAAAGTCTGCTGTGGAGGCCTTTGGGTCAGTTCCTCTCCCAGCCCCAGAAAGGAGGCCGGGAGGTCACTCACCTGCCCGTACCTCTCACCTGCAGCTCTGCTTGCCTGGGACTCCTGTCTCTTCCCACATCACTGACAAATGAGGTCCTTACTTAATGACCCATGTGGTCCTGGAGTTGTAATGGCAACTGGAACTGCCCGGATTCCCCTATGTGAGGTCATGTGACATTGCTTTTTATAACCCCATTAAGGGTTATGATGAATCTTCTTCTACCTCCATGGCGAATTCCAGTCGGGATGGGTAGGAGAGGAATGGCTAAGTCCTAGGTTCCTGCAATATGGGATACCCCGGGGCTGAAGCCCTTTGCTGCTCCTTTTTAGCACCTGCATGAACCCTCCCTCTCCCCCACCCTTCCCCCAAGCACTGGGATAAGTAGAGGCATCAGAAGCTTCATTTGTCACCAGGTTTTTGTTTTTATGCATTTGGTTTTAATAGCATGGTTTTTGTGTTAATTTTTGATAGGCAGCTGGCCAGAATCGGTTTTAAGTAACGTAGGTGGCTATATAAATGTTTTAATGTTGAATCCAACAAAGGTTCTGCTGAAGATGCCCATCTGCAAGTTGCTTGAGGCACAGTGCATTTCTTTATTTATCCAATGTATATGCCGTTCATCCCAGTTAACGTCTCCCATTTAACTCCTTGCAAGGAGAAACAATATCTGTTTCAAGCAAAAATGGCACCAGGAATCAACCTTGTTAGTAAAGCCAGGAGGCCTAGTTAAACTTCTAATTTGAACAAAAGAATCGCCTTTCTGGAATTCCCCGACTATCAAAATGTCATCAACTATGGCCTGTATTTCGAGGCTCTGCATTTTGCCATTTGTAATGTATTCTGTATTCTGTATTAGGGTTATATATATATATATATATATCTTAAAATCAATAAAACGTGAACACCAGGAGTATAAAAAATCCTGTTAAATAAATAAATAAATAATAAACTAAAAAAGTTTAATAACATAATCACCAAGCTTTCGTTGGTATCTTCCGACATCGTCAGGGCTAAAATGCCAGTCCACGGGAGAGTTCCTTTATAGATAACACGTCGTTTGCGCCCAGCTCCTGGACCTTGTCACCGGTCCCAATTGATTGGGCTGCGCTTTAATTAAGGACCTCATCTATATACATACACACACACACACACAGTGGGGCACCAATTGTGCAAGTTCTCCCACTTAAAAAGATGAGAGAGGCCTGTAATTGTCATCATAGGTAGACCTCAACTATGAGAGACAAAATGAGAAAACAAATCCAGACAATCACATTGTCTGATTTGGAAAGAAT